TCCCCCTGCTCTACCTACCCTAGGGAAAACCAACCTTGAGAAGAGGCAGGACGGGCTGTGTGAGCCTCTTGACCCTTCATGTGGCCTCCTGAGGAGAGATCCCCTATGTGTAGCTTCATTCTCCCTGCTCAGTGTGCTTGCCTGTTGATGGCTTTGCAAGGAAGAGACTGGAATGTGGCTGACTTGGCATTTCCCAGCCCCACCCGCACAGCTGGTGGGGTCTGGACCCAGCTCCAAATGGGGCTCAGCAGTCTGCTTGGCTTGGCTCATGCCTCCTGGCTGTCCCGCCTTACCTTCTCTAAAATTGCTTAGGACAGCAGAACTGGGCTGAAGATCTTGGCCAAAGCAGGTTGTGGTAAATGGGGCTGGCTCTCCAGCTGTGCGTAGCAGCCAAGGCCTGGCAGGGCTGAAGCTGTAGAAACAAAACTGAAAGTGCTACAGAAGAATGGCCTCTGCCACCCCTGAAATTAGGAGAAAACTCAGTGGGGCTGTCCAGCAAGGGACCTAGCTCTAGTGGGTTTCCCCATCTCTGGAGGCAGGAGTGATTAAAATAGTCCAAAGGCAGGACAGACACCAGTGTTGCACTGAACCATGGTCTTTCAAAGTCTGGAATGTAGTATCATTTCAGTGTATTTTTCTGCATTATATCCAAGGAAACTTAGACATTCTGTCTACCCAATGAGCCTTTTTAAGAAGATGCAGAACTTTATCCAGGGAGGGTCATAGTGTGGACCAGTGATTGTGGTTCATCTTAAGAAGCCATTGCACCCTCCAGTGTAGGGTCCCAGCCCCAAACTGATGAGCAGCATGGAACCCAGCAGTTCTGACCCCAGTTGGTGTGCATGTGTGTGCATGGGAGAGTGAGGTTGGGAGTTTATGCCAATGTCAGCTGAAAGACAAGCTACAGATGTTTTATTTATTTATTTATTTATTTTCAAGAATTTTTCTTTTATTCCTAAAGTTTAAAAGATGCTGTTGAGCATTTTCTATACATTTTCCTAGAATATTATGTGTGATATATACATATATTCCTTCCTACAGATGTTTTAAAGGGAAACTTCCAGAAAGGTGCAAGAACTGGAGGAATCAGTGGGGTATAGTTTTGAAGTCAGGGTGTAAATGGTGAGGAGTCTATGATGGAAAGGATTCTAGCAAAGATGGCTTGAGAAACTCCTGGAAAATCTAGGGGAAGATGTCTTACTCCTTTCCTATTCAGCACTGCCCTGGGAAAAATCTCAGACTCTACTTCATTAATAGGGGCCTCTGGTGTCTTCTTTTACACATACTCTACTGGTTTAGCTGTTCCAGGTCTCCTGATAGATCAGTCTTAGTGGGAGCTCATAAAAACCCTGGTGGGCACCCTGCTGTCAATGTTGTCTGCAACTAATGCTAATGCTGAGCCAGAAACTTGATTTACAGAGTTTTAAATCAGATGCCTTCAGTAGTTTGTTTTCTCTAGTTTTTGTTAGAATATGGAAACTACTCCTAGCTACCTGTTTTGTCTCACTCCACCTTCTTCCAGAAGCATCATGCGTAGATATTCTTCTGAAGCCATGGCTGAAGTTTCTATCCCTCTAGATCAAGGGCTGTTTACCTGAGACTGTAGACTTTTGATGGGTGTTAGAGAATCCATGAATCCCCTAAAATCTATGGGCTTTAGTATGTATTTGTAGTTTTTCTAGGCAGGCCTATAGCTTTGTGTAGGTTCTCAGATGAGCCTGAGATCTCCCTTGGACCCAAAGCTAAGGAGTTCTTGGTACAAAGGCATTTGGAGTTTGACCTGATCAACGTGTTGGGTTCCTAAGTATGGCCCTAGCACTACCCGGTACCACAGGTTATTTAAGGGAGCTTCTGGAGGTCAAAGATCTAAGGGACTCAGAAGCAGAGCCTTACACTAGCTGGGATTGTTGGGGGACAGAGGCAGGACCCACTGTCTTCCCAGGGCAGACTGGGTCATGGCTTGAAGGGACTCTTGAGGAAGTATGCCCTGTTTCTTGCCTAGCAGCCTGGCTAAAGGCCTGGCAGGGGACTGGGCATGCAGGCCAGCAGTGGAAAGTCAAGGCCATTCTGTGCTGGAAGGTCATGATGGGAGAGAGAGAGAAGCAGGACATGGTTCTCCTGAGAAGGGAGACAGGGCAGGAAGGGAGTATAGGGAGAGACAGGGAGCAGGGGCAGGTGATGAGCAGTCTCTGGCATTGGAGGAAACTCTTAGAAGTTACAAGTGGGGATTATTGCAGACTAGCCTAAAGGAAGGTGGAGGGAGTTCTATCAATGGAGTTTCTGAAAACTGGATAGGCAAGAGCCCCAGGAACACATGTTAGAGGGAGCAAGCCTTCCCTGGCAGAGCCTCTGGGTAGGATGACCTCATCCCTCCCCGTCTCAGGGACTGAGGCTTTATTATTTCAGCCTCTAGGTAGACATTACGCTATGCTGAGCCTAAAGGTTAAAGGAAGAGCTGCCTTTGCCTTGGGGCTCTCACAGCTCTCCAGTAGGAGAGGCTGAGAGAAATATCCCCGACTGCCTCTCACAGCCTCCTCACAGACTCTCTGCTCGCAGACTGTCTGAGGTGGGAGCAGCACGAGGGCCTTCTCCAGGGCTCTTTGTTTCTTCCAGAGCCTGAATCCTCCCTGGTGTCTTGGGCAAAGTGAGGCAGGCAGGGTGTTCCCCTTCCTGCACCCTGAAAATCCCCACAGAGGATTTTTCTGCCTGTCTACCTTGTGTGTACTGCAGAGGCAGTCTCAAGAGTGAATGTTGCAGGTAAATAGAGGAAAGGCAGCAACACCAAAATACTGGCAGCAACAAAACTCAAATGCAGCAGTGAATAACATCATGCCTCTTTCAAAGACCACCTATGCCTAGTTTTCATGGCAGACTAAACATTCTCCCAAAGAGTCAGAGGTGGGCAGCTCTACATGACTCCCTCATACCTTGCCCCAGATACTCCCTGGGTTAAACCTGTCAGGATGAGCTTCCACTGGCACATCCACTAATTGTGCCCTCTTGGGAACCTTCCAGGATGTCCTGGGGGACAGGCTCAAGACTGAAGTTCACCTAATTAGGAATGGAATGGGCATATGGGTGTCTAGCAGGGATGACTAGGGTTTTTTTTTTTTGGTAATGAAACTTCTTTTTTCCTTGAACTTTGAGGTCACTTGGGAGATATGAAACGGGAGGGAATTTTTTGGCTCCTTCACAAGGGAGGGGCCAAAAATAGTTCCCTTCCTTCTGGAAAACTTGGCAAACCCCAGAAAAGATAATATCAGCACCTTGGACATTTTTGTTACTAAGTCCAGCTTCAACATGTGCTCACAGGCTCCAACCCCCTGGTCTGAGATCTTTGCCTAACAGTGAGCTCTCTATTCTGTACCAGTGCCCTGCACATTAAGTATTTGAATGTATGGAACTCCCAAACTCAACCCTATTCCCCTGCGAAAGGGCAAGTTAACCAAGCACTTTTAGCATGGGGCATAGCTCACATTCACTCTGTGTCAAGTCCTAGTAACAGGATCCAGGGGACTCATGCATGTTCTTTGTTCTTCTGGTTAGAAACTACAGCCAGCTCCTCTAGAATAGATCCATCACTAGCTTTAAAATGTATAAATATTGTTCTCACCAGGACTTCTTGCTGAGGAAAGATGGGACCTAAATAAATAAATAAATAAATAAATAAATAAATAAATAAATAAAACGGATGGCTAGGCCATTGCATGCAGTTAACACATAGACTTTGCCTGTACAAAGTTCACAGTCACAGAGATACATGGGCTGGGCTAGAGCTGATCACTACTAGATTTGATCGTTACTGTGCATTTGAACACCAGAACATGTTCCTGGTCATTCTAGTCCACTGTTTCTCAGCAGAATTACCTGGAAGTGCTGGTTAACTTGTCTTCTGGGCCCTCCTTGGACCTCGTGGCCAAAAGCCTCAGGTTGGAGAGATTCACCCAAGCTTGTTTCCTTGTGTTTACACCAACTGCCTTAATCCCTCTTTCTTACTTCATACTTCCCACTTAATTGTCACTCATTGTTTTCACATATTTGGCTGTGCTTCACTGAGACAGTGAGAAGCATGAGGCTCAGGTTATACCTCTTGCTTTGGGCACCATCTCAGGGCCTGGCCTGGTACCGGGTGTGAACCACTGGTTCCCAGTTGTGTCTGTCCCAGTATGCACATTTATGTGAGAAGACCATCTTCTCTAACAGTGACTTCAGATCAAGAGAAGGATAATGTGGATCCCAGTTGTGGTCTATGCAGGTAGATTAAATCCAACCAGTTTGTCTTGAATACCCATTTGTACAAGAAAATTCCTGAACAAGAGGAGGAAGGCAGGTCCATGTAATAAAGATCACTTACTTGAGAACTCTAAGAAAAAAATTGTCCAGTCTTGAGACTCAGGTTGGAAAGGATGGTTTGATGCTGCCAATGTCTGAACAACTCTGGGAGATCTTTGGCTCAGAGGGGGCATTGCTACCTGATTGCTGTCAGCCCAGCGTGAGTACTATCTTATTCTGTTTTCTGTTGCTGTAACAGAATATTTGAGACTAGACAGTATATGAAGAAAAGAGGTTTATTTTGGCTCATGGTTCTGGATGTCCAAGTGCGTGGTATTTCAGCATATGCTTGGCTTCTGGTGAGGACCTCATACAACTTAAACTCATGAGGGAAGTGTAGGAAAGCAGGCATGTGCAAAGACAGAAGGGGACAGTGGAGAAATATGCTTCATAACCACCTACTCTCAGGAGAGCAAATCCATTCCTGAAAGGACTAATTCAGTCTCTTGAGAAAGACTTTAATCCTCCTTCAAGGTTCCACTTCAATCTCCCAACACAGCTACACTGGACATCAAGTTCAGCATGAGTTTTGGTAGGGACAAACCACATTCAATCTATTGCAGCTACCCCTGCACCTGCCATTTGGGACAGAATTGCAGTGGGGCTGATGATTCTGGTAAGATTCTGAGTGGTGTTCTCTGGGGTGGGGTTGTCTGTCCATGGCCCAGGTTCTCAGAGCCAGACCCCAGCCATACCCTGGAGGAGCGTGTGGTTCACTGGTATTTCAGCCAGTTGGACAGCAACAGCAGCAATGACATTAACAAGCGGGAGATGAAACCCTTCAAGCGCTACGTGAAGAAGAAAGCCAAGCCCAAGAAATGTGCTCGACGTTTTACTGACTACTGTGACCTGAACAAGGACAAGGTCATCTCACTGCCCGAGCTGAAAGGCTGCCTGGGTGTTAGCAAAGAAGGTGAGTGATGTCTCCTGTGTTCCGCTGTGCTTTTCCTATTTGCCACACCCAGACATAGGGAACTACAAGGGCTCTCCCAGGAAGTGTGATCTCAGCTACTTACTGGGAGTGTGTGATGCTTCATGCTAGAGGCCTGGTGCAGTGGTGGAATTGACTGATCAGTCCCTATACTTCCACAGTCTACTGAGGATTCAAATAGTAAAGATGTATTCACGTACATTGTGAGGACGGTGAGGATGGATTACTGAAAGTAGGCCAGGCTGCAGTCAATAACAAGTGGACCTGCACATGTCATGCCTCAACATAGCAGAAAATGATTTCCGTTTCCATGGAATAGTGCCGGGCGGTGGTGATGGTGTTGGGGGCGGTGTGTATGTAGGAGGAAAAGGTTAGACTAGGGATTTCTCCATGTAGTCACTTAGGGATCCAGGCTGAAAGCTACTCTACCATCTTCATCATGTGACTTCCAAGGTCACTGAGAGGGTCATCTCAGTTCTCAGGCTGCCTGGGTGTTAGCAAAGGAGGTGAGTGATGTCTCCTGTGTTCCGCTGTGCTTTTCTTATTTGCCACACCCAGACATAGGGAACTACAAGGGCTCTCCCAGGAAGTGTGAGCATTGAGTCAACATGGAGCAGTGCCTGCGAGGTAATTTTATGGGCATTCCTAGAAGTCACACACACACACACACACACACACACACACACACACACATTACTTTCTTATATTTCATCGACTGGCTAAGTGTCACCAGACCAACAGTAGAGAAGGGTGACAAGAGGCAAGGTGAAGAATCTAGGAAGAAGGCTTTACAAGGACAGTGGAAAGCTGCCAAAGGGATCAGTCAGAAAAATAATAGGATCAGTTTTGTTTTGAAAAACTATTGAGGCTGTAGTGAAGGAAGTGGATTAGACATGAGCAAGGCAGTCGTCCAGGAGGAGGTGTGGTGCAGTCCAGGAAAGAGGTGATGGGGGTCATGTTATGAAACCACAGGGGCTATGAGAAGTGGTTGGACTGGTGACCGGGTGGACATAGGGACCACTCAGTCCCAGGTTGGTGTGAGTAGCTGGGGCAGGGCTGTTCACTGAGATGGGCATCATGAAAGGAAAAGTCAACTGGCGTAGGAGTCAGGAAGATGACAAGTGCGGATTGGACATCTCAGGTGGGATGCACATGAAGGCTGAGTGGAGCTACAGAATGGGGGAGATATGGGCCGAGATGCAGGCTTGAGTGATGCTGACTTTTGGGGATGGAAGCTTTGTAAACACTGAAATTAGTTAGAGTTTAGCATAAGAAGACAAGAGGGCTTTTCCTTACTCTTTTGTTGTGGCATGGGAGTGCCATGGGAGGTGGGTGGGTTACCACAAGGAGCCCAGTCTTAGGAGCTGTGCTGTCCATAGGTGGGTGCTGGCTCTGTCCTCAGCCTAACTGGCCTGTGACCCTTGGTGAGGGGCCTCCTCACTCTGGGTACACCTGTGTGATGAGGATGCCTCTCTGGTTCCCACAGTATACAGAGCAGTCCTGCTCTGCCACAGACACACTCTCTCACAACATGCACACACTGTTTATCCATTCTGTATTTCAGTTTCTTTAGCTATAAAATAGGAACAAAGGTAGTGTCTACCGCATCGGCATGTGCCAATGAAATGGGAAAATGAATGAGAGCATTTATCATAATGTCAGACCCTGAACTAACTCAATAGAAGTTCAATATTGCTTTTCTTTTCCCTGAGACTATTGCCTCTCTCAGAAGCACTTATCACCCTGTGTTGCAGTTTCCTTTCCCGATTCCTCCTTGAAGCCAGGTTTGTCTCTGTGAGCATGCCTGAATGCACAGCTGTCTGTGTGCATCTCCCTCTATCCATTTGCACTGCATTCATGTCTATGCCTGTGACTTTAAGCATGCCTATTTGTGCACATGTGCATGCCATACACATGTCTGTGTGTGTACATGTATATGATGAAGGGAGGAAAGTGGAGCATGAGGTAGGAGGAAGAGGGGATGTAGAATTAATCAGTGGGTGGGCTGGGGAGGAGGCTGTATAGAAATAAAGCCCACAGGGAAGCAGAGTGCCTTTGGCTTCCTGGGAAGTGAGGGGCCTTGGAATGGTGTGAGCAGGAGTAGAGGTTGCTGGGAGCATGGTGCTGTCAGCCCCTCTGAAGGGAAAGGCCATGGTTTCTGAGCCAGCAGTGTCTATCCAGAGGTGGGGAGGAGCAAGGACCATGATCTAGGCATAAGGTGAGGTTGTAGTTAAGATCAGAAGCCCTGAAGTGAGATAGACCTTGCTTTTGATCCCAGCTCTGCCACTTACTAGCTCTGTTCAGTTAGTCACCCAAACTCACTGAGCCTGTTTCCTCATCTGCAAAATGGAGATAATAGGATCCACCTCACAGATTTGGCCTGAGAATTTAACAAGATAATGCATGTGAAGAATGTAGCAGAACCTGGTTACACAAAAGAAATTAATAGTAGTACAAGAACATGTCTATGAGCTAAAGACATGGTTGGCAGTTTCCCTTGGTACCTCTGCTCTGGGGGTAGCAGAAAAGCCATTTGGGCGGATGATTAAGTAGCTCCAGGGAATGGAGTCCATGCCCAGGTCATCCGGTATCATGTGGTGCCCTCTGGTGGTGTGAGAGGGGTTTACATGCTAGGTGGGGGCACAAGGTAAGTGGGGAGAGGATGCAGGGTTTGGAGATGAGTAGTTTTGGAAACGCCACATGAACACAGCTATTTTTACCATACAGACGTCTCACTGGAGAGTCAAATTCTCTGGCCAGCATGAAAAAGCTGCACATTTGGAAGGATGGCCCTCTTTTGTAGCTAGCCTTTTCCAATTAAGAAAGTTCCTTCATCAGGAAGTACCTCCATGTGTCAGAAATGCCAATTCAACTCTTCCTTTAGGTTGTCTGAGGATACTGCCTGCCCCTGGGCTCAGCCTTTTTCACCCCTGCCCTCCCTTGTGGTCCAGAGTGTGGGTCCAGAGGCAGATAACCAGGTCTGAATTTGCTTCCTTGCATGAAGCTGTGCCATTGTGGGTGGGTTACTTGTCATTTCCAAGCCTTGGTCTTATCATAAAATGGAGATGATTTTATCCCTATCAGATAAAGTTGCCCTGAGGGTACAGAGACATGCTCCTGGCTATCCATTTTGTTTCCTGAGTCTCAGCTTGTTGGGCAGGATTGCTGTGGGCCTCCTCTCTGGGGGTAGACCTTTCTGCTCACCACTGAGAGGAAGCATTGGAGTTAAGGCCAGGCAGCCTGGTTCTGCCTTTCCCACCTGTGTGCCTTAGGCCCATCCCTCAATCTTTCTGAGTTGGTGTCATCACCTGCAAAATTGGATGTATTAATTTCTACCCTGTGCTTACCCCACCCCATGTTCTGTCTCTCTTTGGTCTTAAGGAATGGTGGGGACATTGAGCTGTGGGGTCACATGACCCCCAGGTGGGCCTTGACTCCATGGCATTATGCATTCCCCAGAGCCTTTTCTTCCATGAATTTAGCTGCTTCTCGGGGCACTCCTGTGAGGGAGGTGGAGCAGAAGAAGTACAGTTGTGATCCTAATTCCCAACCTATGGACAGACTCAGAGGGGTTGAGGGGTGTGATCAGAGCCAAAAAGAGCTGGCCCAGCTTAGTGTGTTCCCCTGCAACCTGATCCTTCTTTGAGAAGCTAGGCCCTGGAGGATCAGCCATGGTCAGTTTCTGGAACTACTGTGGCACACTATGAGGAGGAGTGGGTGTTAGCAAAATGAGCCTTAGACCAAGTATAAATCACTCTGAGCCTCTGCCTCCAGATTTATCAATTGAAAAGGTTAAGATTTTTTCTACCTCTGACATCATGACTTGGAGAACCAAGACCAAGAAGATTATGTAAATGCCTGTCATCACCAAAACCTTCTTAGATAATAGCTGAGGATTCTAAAGAGGTACCCCAAGCCAGGTGTGGTGCATGCCTGTAATTCCAATACTCAGGGGGCTGAGGATCTTGAGTTCAAGGCCAGCCTGGACTACATAAAAAGACCTTATAAAACAAAGACAAAAGCCCAAAGATGCAGGAGCCTGGCCATATGGAAAGGGACTTTGTTTAAATATTGGCCGGCAATGGGTTCACCCAGGAAGAACATGGCCACAGACACCCACAGAACAGGAAGCACAGCCACACAACCTCTGGCTATGTCCCAAGACCATCCTACATTTTTGGATTAGAAGGGCAGGAACTCAGATATAAGAGAAGCTCTACCAGTTCTCTGGGTTAAGGCATCTCCTATGTCATACGTTCCTATTTGTTGCAGGTGGTAGCCTTGGCAGCTTCCCCTAGGGAAAACGAGCAGGCACAAACCCATTCAGTAAGTTCCCTTCTTTTTTGGGCTTCCCTCTTTCCTCTATGGACCTTCTGCTGAAGCTTTAGTAGCACAGCAGGGTGAAGCAATTGGCCAAGTCCCTTAAAGCTCCAAGTTCAGTGTATTTGCTGAGAACACAAGAGAAAAGTAGTCAGTGATAAGAGGATTCCGCCATCTCCACCTGTCAACAAACATGCAATTTTCTCCCTTGCCCCAGGCTGAGAGGCTGACGTCTAGGGGTAGTATGATTTATGCAGAGTGCACCCCACCCAGTGCTTACCAGGTAAAGCCAGAACAATTCCAGGTGCCACTGAGTTGCGTCAGAATAATAAAGGATAGGCTAGCAAAACATGCTTATCTGCAAGTTTAGGTGACCTGTGCCCCACCCAGCCCTTATGTAACAGCAGGTGGAAAAGGCTGCTCTTGTGGGGAAAGTGATTGATGTAGCTGGATTTTGCATATATCCAACTGTCACTTCTTCCTGCTCATATCATCCTTCTTTTTGCACTCTCCTTCTCCCTCCCAGTAGGACGCCTTGTCTAAGGAGCAGAATATCAAAAGGCAGATGGAGAGTCCATGGAAACAGGATGGACCATGAGACACCTAGCCTTCAGTGCTGCCCACAGCCCAGCTACATCCCGTGTAACATAAGCAATGCCCACCATGTTTGCACTTTTAATAACTCTTATTTGTGTGTTTTGTTTTGGTTTCATTTCTAAACACAAGTATCTAATACCACAGTGGAAAAACGAAAGGAAAAGACTGTTTATTTTATCTCTTATTGTAAGTTTTTGGATCTGCTACTGACAACTTTTAGGTTATTTGGGGGGAGGGATGTTGTTGGGATTGAGAAGAAAGAGATTTATATACTGTATATAAATATATATGTAAATTGTATAGTTCTTTTGTACAGGTGTTGCTTTGCTGTTTGTTCATTCCCTCTCTCTCTCTCTGCTGTGGGTTGTGGGTGCTCTGGACTCATGGTCCAGCTTCTTAGAACCCAGGATTCCATCCTCAGCCTACCTGGATTCCTTTGGAGATTGACCTTTGTGTGTATGTAGATGGTCATCCTTTGCACCGCAGACAACACTGGTTCTCTTCTGGTGCCCCATGCAGTTAGCTGTCAAGATCAGCAAGTTATTTGACCCTTGGCCTTCTTGAGGGAGGTTGGGTTGGGAAGATGGTCATTGTCCCTGGAGAAGAGGGGAGCCCTGATTGAGCGATAGCCAGCTTGGCTCCCAGTTCACGTGTCCTGCTATCTAGACCCCCGGGGGGCCTAGGGTCAGTAAGTTTGGAAATTTTCCTCAAAGGCTTTGCTTCAGGTCAGTTTACACATTTGTATCCATGTTTAGCACCCACTCTGTGTAGGTCATGAGATGGGAGACACAGGGCATGAGAAGAAAAAGACACATGGTAGGGCCTTTCGTTTAGTAGATGTTTAGTAGCTAGTAGCACAGGGAAAAGGACAGAAAGCCTGCCCAGATGAGGGGAGCAACAGTGTTCCTGCAAACCCACAAATAAGACTCCCGAGCCTCATGTTGAGGTTAGGTTGGGTTTTTACCTCCACTCTCCTTCATCTCTCACCATTGTCTTCCTTGGACAGCACACGCCTGAGGGGGAAGTTGGGTTAGTCACCATATTGGTAATTCAAATGTTTATTGTTTAAACCCAAGACTGAAGTTTCTCCTATTGCTACAACTTTTTGTATGGGTTTCCAGGCCCAAAGTCCAATTCTACAAGTAAAATTGACCTTGAGTCTCCTACTTCTGCCTCCCCAAGAAGGAATGATAATCCAGCTATGGGGAAATCCAGGCCTCCCTTTCCACAGTGTATTGCCAAGCTCCAAGTGTAGGTTGCCCAGTCATTGGGGCACATGCACAGCTTCCTCTACCCAGGTGACATGTCCATTCAGATAGACTTCAGACAGAGAAAGTGACACTTAGTACCGCTTCCTTGGACAGTCATGGCTGCAGCATAGGAGGTCAGATAGCCCAGGACTGGTATCTTTGTTGGATTGCTTTTGGCAATCTGGCCTCAGGTTGTATTCCACCTCAGCATCCCCATAAGTACATCGACCTGGGCAAACAGTATTCCATTTTGGGTCTGGAGGGCATGGGTCCTGTTATCACTGCCCCAGTGGGAGGCACATGGGCTTCTCAGAACTTGATCTGATGGGGCTTTGGGCTAGAGAAGTTTCCTCCTGTCCTGGAGAAAGTAGTGCATGTTGTCTCAGGGATGACTGACATAAGGCAGAAAGGAAGCCCTCTCCTGGAACCTCAACCAGAAAACACAGTATGCCTTAGCTGGATGAATTTTGTATGAGACCCCAGCCCTGTTTTCTGGCCTGGAGGGAGCACGTAGATACAGAAAAAACTCCTCCCTGTAGGAGTTAAGACTCTTTCCCAGCCATCTTCTTCAAATACGTGCATAGCTGTGTTTTGTAGTTTTCCCTTGTGAAGGAGGGAAGAAGGGAGGAAAACTATTTGTAGCTTGTTTTATAAAAAAATAAAAATGGATAAACCTTGGAAGCTGTTGCCTCTTTCTTTGGTGGCCTCCTCTAATGGAAAGGCTTCATTTCCTAGAAGGCTTTATTGTTTCCACTGATCTGGATGTTCCCACTCTGATCCTGTAAAGTCCAGGTTGCTGTTAATAAAGCAATATCAGGGCACCCAGAAGTGGTCATGAGGGCACTGTGTGAGGATGCAGCCAATCCTCTTGACCTGTGCCTACCATGTATGTGCACTCTGTAATGTTCACCCATGTGCTGGCCCGTGGGATCCCCCTTCCTAATGCTCTCCTCCCAGCCAACACTGGGTTGTAGGGAATGTTGCTGGCAGAGTTTCAGGGACAGGACTGGGGCAAACTCATCCTATGACATTCGACTGGTGGGAGTGGGTGTGTCAGCCATGATCTAGATACCAAGACTCTGGGCTGGGATGCAGGTGGGACGTGGACCCTCAGTGGGGTTGTGGGATACATATTCAGGATGAATCTGCTGATGAGATCTACAGAGTGGAGGACTTCAGGATGGGGATTGATGTCTGAAGGCCTAGGTTTTCTCCTGTGTGGCTGCCATTATTTCTATGCATGACTGTCCCTGGAAATGACCTTCTCAATCTCCCACTTGAGAACCTTCCCCTGAGTCCTTTTGGCCCTCTCTGGGCCCTGTCTTCTGCAGGTGCACAGAAGATTATTCTCCTGGAAAACCACCTTTGCTCCAACTAAGCATTGCTGGGAAAGGGTCTGAGACTTTGACAGTGGTCATACACCCTCCTCATTCAGTGCTGCACCCTCCCATGGTCTCTCTCCAGCTCTAGAAGAAAAGACAGCCAGTTCACTGTACACTTGTCACATGCCAGGATCCTGCTACTTCAACCCTAATGAACCTGCCCCAGACAACTCTGTCCTTGGAGGCACCAGACTCATCTATTCCAGGTCAGGCAGGACCCTTGAGGGCCCACTTATCCCCATTCCCCACACAGGCCTCTACACTGTGAAAATATATCTTCTCAATTGCCATGATTGGCCCATTTCCATTACAGTTTACTCCCTTGCAATGCTGGCACAATGGAGGGTGCCAGGTCTTTTTCAGGAAAGAACTTTCAGAGATGTGACCCAAGTTGTTCCACTGCTCCCATCTGCCCCACCACCCAGTGTTTAACCACTCTTTCCTGCTGCACATTTTCCTCCCTGCTCAAGATGAGAGCTCTGCTTTTTGAAGGGTCGCTCTTGAGACCCAGTGAGGAGCCATGCTGGGCTGAACTGAATCTAGAAGGTTTGATATGATGCCCCTGAACACAGCTCCTTTCCTAATCCTTGACGGTCTACTGGTGGAGACTCACAGGCCCCTGCCAAACCCAGAAACCAGAGCCAGATTCCTGGAGTAGGGAAGTAGTTTCAAAAAAGCTTTGCAGCATTCTCCTTGGATATTGCTAGAAGATCATAAGAAGGACTACAGGGCTGCAAGAGGAGCCTGAGTGAGGTGAGAGAGCAGGAATCTGGCAGGCCTATCCACCCTGGTATGTTATTTTACCAGGAGATTCAGAGAGTCCTGGAATTAGAGCCAGAAGTTCAACTTCTCAGTCTGGTTCAAACATTGACATACCTTTGTCCACAGACTTACATTATTTGTGTCTAGGCTCTTTCTCTTCATGACAAGGGGGAGGCATGTCATGCATTGAAGGAAACTTGCATGTTTAGTGGCATGATAAGGCACATGTGGAGAGGGAAGGAGGGCCAGAGAGTCTGAGGGTCAAGAGGGTGAAGAGGGTGAAGAGGAGTCAGAACAGAATGGGGGAATGCAGGAAGAAAGCCTCCCTTGAAGTACCACACTGTAGGGGCTGTGCTTAATAGACTAGCAAGGAAAAAATGGGAGATGCGTGTGCATACAGAGTAAAAGGTAAAGAGAAAAAGATAAAGAGGGAGAAGGAAGGCAGGAAGTAATAAGAGGAGTGGTAGATGGAGCCACAAGGAAGGGTCACATCGGATAAAGAAAAGTGATAAGCTAGCTGGAGGGGTATAGGATGGCTCAAGGGAGGGTGGGAGGCAGAGCAAGAGAGGATGTAAGATGTGGTAGGGGTGGAGGAAGAGAGCTTGGGAGGAATGAGACACCTTGCACTGGAAAAACAGTGCCTCAGCTGTGCTGTTGTTTGAGGCTTTCTTATTGTAGCTAGAAAGGTCTGCAGGGAGGTGTATGGGTTATTTCCAGTTCAGAACAGAAGCCCAGGTGAACTGTGGTTTCAATTGAAATCTGCTGCACTATTCTGGTCTCAGATTCCAGCCCAGGTCTCTTCTGAGTCCAGGCTTCTCGGTGCTGTCCCACAAACCTTGCCCACCTATTATGCCTAAAACTGAACAAGTCATCTCCACCTACCACCTATCAGTGCTGGGTACAAACAGCCTGCCACTGCTCCCAGCCTGCCTTCCAATATTCCTCCCTCAGCTGGTCACCATGTCCTGTAAATTCTCCCTCCTTATTTTCTCTTTCTCGTGCCCTCCTCTACATCCTCCTTGTCACTACCTTACCCACTTCTTACAGTAGCTAGTGGTTGTAAATGCCCTCTGGTCTCCACTCCTTCTCCCTGCCTCAATTATTCTCCACAATGGGAAAAGCTCAGACCCAGATAACAGCATGCAAATCAAATCAGATTATTCTTCTGCTTAAAGTTCCTTAGTGGCTCTGAATAGCTGTAATGGGCTGAAAGGTGTCCCCATTTCTATATTGAAGTCCTAACCCTTGAAGTGACTGTATTTGGAGGTTGTGACTTTAAGGAGATAGTGCAGGGTAAACGCAGTCATAAGGTTGGGACCGTAATCCAATTGGACTAATAATCTTATAATAATGAGAGATACCAGAGATCTCTGTCTCTCACATACCCATGCACAGAAGAAAGGCCATGTGAGGACACAGTGAGAAAGTGGCCGTCTATAAACTAGGAAGAGAGGCTTCACCAGAAACCAACCCTGATGGCACTTTTATCTTGAACTTACAGCTTTTGGAAATGAGGAAATAAATTTCTGTGTTTAAGCCACTCTGTATGTGATTTTTTTTTTTATAGTGGTCTGAGCAGACTAATATAGCTTTCAGGATCATTAGTGTTGGCTTAGCCTTAGCTCACAAGACTAAACATCTTGACCTGTCCTGATCTTAAACTGCTGCTTCCCGTTCATGCATTCCTGTAAATGCACATCTCACTGCTGTGATATTGACACACCGCATTGGTGTGCATCCACATAAGTCCTGCCTCAGCCACACTCAAGGCTTTCTTCAAGTTGCATATATTACATCACTCTGCCACTGACACATGCTTTCCAAGATCTCACACTGTATGCGTCTGCCTGGAACAACTCTGCTACCAGTAATGACATAGATAATCACCAACCTCCTAAGCGCTGTGATGCATAAACGACATCA